AACAAAATTAAATAGCATCTTATTCCACATTAGAAAGAAAGAAGAAAAAAGATCAAATATGTAAGAAACTATACTAATTAAAGTACTGAAAGAAAGGAAAAAAAACAGATCTGTCCTCTTTGAATTTTATACTTAGCAAACATACCTTTAAAAACTAAAAGTAAAGTATTTTCCAGTTATACAAACTCGAAATGTTCTAATACCTCTAGATATAGCATATAGGAAATAACAAAAAGGATATTTCAGAATGCAGGAAAAGTTGCTGTATGCTCCTGGATAAAGAATAAAGAGCTCTCAAAATGATCGCTATACAGGACTATGTAAAATATATTAGATGAGCCCATTTAAAAGGTCATTAAAGATTTCTACGAAACAGCATCAATCTTATGTCGAGTAACACACATCTTTTTCATATATGTATTCATGTGTGTGTATAAAACATAGAGAAGAAGTAATATAGTCGATGGAAAATGGAAATATACTTTTTAAAGTTTCTAATACTAAGAGAAAAAATCATATCATGTCTTAAATAGATTGTAAGTCAAATATATAGTATAAATCTTAAAACAAAAATTAAGATTAAGCAAAATTCATAAAATTAAGTACTAATTAATGAAAAATCAAACATTTCAAAATAATTGATTACAAGGTATCTCACAGGACTAAGGTCATTTTCCTTTTTTTTTCTTTTTTTTTTTGCGGAACCGGGGATTGAACTCAGGCCCTTGTGCTTGCCTGGGAAGCACTTATTCCACTGAACCATCTCCCCAGCCCCCAAACAATTGAACTAATAAAAAGCTTTTATGACAGTAAAGAATTACTAAGAATAAAACATAAGATAAATACTAGAATGACAAATAAATGACCAGCACTTCTAACAGTTTGAGGATAGGCTATCACACAAAGTTCTAGTGTGTCATGGACATGGACAGTGTCCATGACACTTACTGGTGGCCAGGTGTCACTTGTGGGACTGAGCTACTGCTATTTCCTTGATATCCACCCTGTAGACCCAGACAGAATCATGACCCATAAGGTGCAGGAGAAGTCCATTTGTGGAGTATGCTGATGGAAATATCTTGCTGCTATATACAAAAGAATAACTGGGAGACTGCTTTTGTATACCTCTTATTCCTCTGTGTTTAATTATTTGCCCTATTTGATGGATTCTTTCCATTCTCACTCATGTAGTTATGGTTATTTTGCTTCCTCTCTAGAACATCATCTAGTAGTCTGTGTAGGTTTGTCTTTGTCATCATGAAATTCTTAAGTTGTTTCTTTGTCATGGAAGTATTTCACTTCTCCATTATACTTGAAAGAGAGTTTTGCAGGGTATATCAGTCTAGGTTGCAATTTGTTTTCTTGTAACACTTAAAGTACTTTGCTCCATGCTCTTCTTGACTTGATGGTTTGTGAAGGGAAATCTGCCATTATCCTGATGGGTTTTCCTTTAAACGTGATCTGTTTCTTTTCTTTAGCGGCTGTTAGAATACTGTTCCTGTGCAAGATTTCTAGGATCTTGATTACTATATGTCTGGGTGTGGTTTTCATTGGGTTGATGTTATTTGGAGTTCTATGTGCTTAGGTTACCTGAATGTCAGATGTTTTCCCCATATTTGGGAAGTTTTCTGCTATTATTTCCATCCATATTCTTTTTATATCATTTGTATTGACTCCTTCTCATTGATGCCTATTAGTCTCACATTGTTCATCTTTGCATCGTCTTGCAGGTATTGGATTATTTTTTGCTGCATCCTAGTTGTTTTTAAGAGATCTTTTCTTACTTTTTCACTAGCTACAATGGTGTCTTTCAGGTCTGAAAGTCTATTCTCACTTTCATTCAAATGGTTTTGCCAGCTTGTGATTGAGGTTTTAAATTTCTGTATATCACTTTGGATCTGCTTCATGCATTCTATTTCTTTCTTGTATTGCTTATTCAAGGATTCCATCATTTTTATATTATGGTCTATTTTTTATCAGTGTCTTCTTTAGAAGCACTTAGTACTTCTTTCATTTTAGTTATCATTTCTTTTTTTACTTCAGAAATTATTTCTGATCTGATTTCCTCTATACCTTTCTGCTGTTGTTTCTTTACTTCACACACTATTATTTCAGAGATTTCAGATGTGTGATTTCCAGTTTCTTCTATGCTAGTGTCTTCTGCATTTGTTCTGGGTGGGCTCGGGGCCTGAGACTGCATTTTGTTCCTTCTCTTTGTCATTTTCTACAGCTCTGTCTTCTGACCTTTGGTGTAGAGCTTAGATAGAATTATTACCTTAGCACCAGGTCCAGATCTACGAAGTTCAGATTCCTCCATGTGGGTGTTGCTTGGATCTGGCTGCTGTGCTCCACTTCTTCCCGTTGCAACCCCTGGAGGTGAACCCTCTGGGCCACTCTGGCAAGATGTTCTGTTACTGAATCAGCTGGGTGGCTCTTGCCTCTGGCCTTTTTTGCAGGGAGTTCTGCTTCAGGTTCCACGCAAGGCCTGGGCTCTGGGTCCAGTGAGGATCCAGTGGCCCCGGGTCACCTCACTCACACCTCCACTGGCCTTAGTTCAATGCTTAAATGTATTCTGAAAATGTCAGGGCTAAGGAGGGAGTCAGAAGGATTAATAGAGTCTTTATTTCCTTTAGTAAGAAACTAGGTACAAAATTAGATATTTTAAAAATAGTTTTCAGACATTAAACAAGAGGCAGCACTGAACAGTAACTCCTAAGAGAAGACTAAGATAAATAGACATCATCATTGCCTAGCTTACTAGGAGAGAGTTTCCAGGCCAGGAAAGTAGAGCCCTGACAAAGTCTCTCTGTATCCCATGGTTGAGGAAATGGAACTGAGAGTTCAGGAAGGCTATGTGGCTGGAGTTTACAAATAAAATGCCAGTGAGGGGGGGGGACTTCCCAGAGAGAATGCTTTTGGGCTCTCCAGAGGGTCCCTCTTGCATGTTCACCTGTCTAATGAGGCAGGAAGGTGCACATGCACGCATGCATGCGTGTGTGTGTATATCCTACCCAAAGCCAGGGAAAAATGCCTGAAAGGAGTAGGTAGAACAATCCCTGAAATTTGCAGGTGGGAAAAGTTTTGTATTCCCACCAGCCAGAATGAAATAATCTTGTAATACAAGGGGGAACTGTCAGAGTTATCAAAAGGGTGTTGCCTTAGTAGTGGAGGAAAATTAGCCCTACAAAAGCAGGGTGCTCTGATTCTGCCTATTAAAAAGTATCAGTTTCCAGGACTCCGAACTGCATAGATTAAACTGCATCAAAACTCAGGATACTTAAAATAACATAAGAAAATGCAGTTTCCATCAAAGTAAAATGCACAATGTCTAGCATACAGTTAAAAATTACCAGGCAAAGAAACAAACACATAAAACTAATAATGAAGAGAGATGCCAGTCAACTGAAATGGATTCAAAATTGAACCAGAAGAAATAGTGACTACACACAGGATATTAGAACAGGTTTTATAACTATGGGCATGTTTTCCCGAAGGTAGGTGAAGAAAGCGTGAGCGCGTTCAAGTGAGACATCCGAGACAGCAAGACCAAATTGAATTTCTGGAGTTATATCTAAAAGATGTATCAGTTGTAAATACCCTACATGAAAAATGCAGAGAAAAATGACTGAAAAATACTGTATCAGTAAAGCTATCAGTGAGCTAAATAGCATGTAATTGGTATTCTTAAGGCAGAGGAGAATGAAGAAAGACAGAAGAAAAATAAAATAAAATCAAAAAGATCTAAACAAATTTGGTAAAAATCTTAGCATTAAGAGAATCTAGTGAGTGAGACGACCTGGGACCCTCCGGATCCTGAGTAGACCAGGAGCGCAGGCCCAGCACAGAACCCTTTAGCAGAACTCCCTGCAAAGAGGCTAGAGGCAAGACCCACCCAGCTGATTCAGGAGCAGAACATCTTGCCAGAGAGACACAAAGGGTTCAACTCTA